AGTGAAGGCTCGTTCACATGGTTAGAGCAGCGAGTGAAGGCTCGTTCACATGGTCAGAGCAGCGAGTGACGTCCACATGGTCAGAGCAGCGAGTGACGGCTCGTTCACATGGTCAGAGCAGCGAGTGAAGGCTCGTTCACATGGTTAGAGCAGCGAGTGAAGGCTCGTTCACATGGTCAGAGCAGCGAGTGACGTCCACATGGTCAGAGCAGCGAGTGACGGCTCGTTCACATGGTCAGAGCAGCGAGTGAAGGCTCATTCACATGGTCAGAGCAGCGAGTGAAGGCTCGTTCACATGGTCAGAGCAGCGAGTGAAGGCTTGTTCACATGGTCAGAGCAGCGAGTGGCGGCTCATTCACATGGTCAGAGCAGCGAGTGACTGCTCGTTCACATGGTCAGAGCAGCGAGTGACGGCTCGTTCACATGGTCAGAGCAGCGAGTGGCGGCTCGTCCACATGGTCAGAGCAGCGAGTGACGGCTCGTTCACATGGTCAGAGCAGCGAGTGAAGGCTCATTCACATGGTCAGAGCAGCGAGTGAAGGCTCGTTCACATGGTCAGAGCAGCGAGTGAAGGCTTGTTCACATGGTCAGAGCAGCGAGTGGCGGCTCGTTCACATGGTCAGAGCAGCGAGTGAAGGCTCGTTCACATGGTCAGAGCAGCGAGTGACGGCTCGTTCACATGGTCAGAGCAGCGAGTGAAGGCTCGTTCACATGGTCAGAGCAGCGAGTGAAGGCTCGTTCACATGGTCAGAGCAGCGAGTGACGGCTCGTTCACATGGTCAGAGCAGCGAGTGAAGGCTCGTTCACATGGTCAGAGCAGCGAGTGAAGGCTCGTTCACATGGTCAGAGCAGCGAGTGAAGGCTCGTTCACATGGTCAGAGCAGCGAGTGACGGCTCGTTCACATGGTCAGAGCAGCGAGTGAAGGCTCGTTCACATGGTCAGAGCAGCGAGTGAAGGCTCGTTCACATGGTCAGAGCAGCGAGTGAAGGCTCGTTCACATGGTCAGAGCAGCGAGTGAAGGCTCGTTCACATGGTCAGAGCAGCGAGTAAGGCTCGTTCACATGGTCAGAGCAGCGAGTGAAGGCTCGTTCACATGGTCAGAGCAGCGAGTGAAGGCTCGTTCACATGGTCAGAGCAGCGAGTGAAGGCTCGTTCACATGGTCAGAGCAGCGAGTGAAGGCTCGTCCACATGGTCAGAGCAGCGAGTGAAGGCTCGTTCACATGGTCAGAGCAGCGAGTGACGGCTCGTTCACATGGTCAGAGCAGCGAGTGAAGGCTCGTTCACATGGTCAGAGCAGCGAGTGAAGGCTCGTTCACATGGTCAGAGCAGCGAGTGAAGGCTCGTTCACATGGTCAGAGCAGCGAGTGAAGGCTCGTTCACATGGTCAGAGCAGCGAGTGAAGGCTCGTTCACATGGTCAGAGCAGCGAGTGACGGCTCGTTCACATGGTCAGAGCAGCGAGTGAAGGCTCGTTCACATGGTCAGAGCAGCGAGTGAAGGCTCGTTCACATGGTCAGAGCAGCGAGTGAAGGCTCGTCCACATGGTCAGAGCAGCGAGTGAAGGCTCGTTCACATGGTCAGAGCAGCGAGTGAAGGCTCGTTCACATGGTCAGAGCAGCGAGTGACGGCTCGTTCACATGGTCAGAGCAGCGAGTGACGGCTCGTTCACATGGTCAGAGCAGCGAGTGAAGGCTCGTTCACATGGTCAGAGCAGCGAGTGACGGCTCGTTCACATGGTCAGAGCAGCGAGTGAAGGCTCGTTCACATGGTCAGAGCAGCGAGTGAAGGCTCGTTCACATGGTCAGAGCAGCGAGTGAAGGCTCGTTCACATGGTCAGAGCAGCGAGTGACGGCTCGTTCACATGGTCAGAGCAGCGAGTGGCGGCTCGTTCACATGGTCAGAGCAGCGAGTGACGGCTCGTTCACATGGTCAGAGCAGCGAGTGACGGCTCGTTCACATGGTCAGAGCAGCGAGTGAAGGCTCGTTCACATGGTCAGAGCAGCGAGTGACGGCTCGTTCACATGGTCAGAGCAGCGAGTGGCGGCTCGTCCACATGGTCAGAGCAGCGAGTGACGTCCACATGGTCAGAGCAGCGAGTGACGGCTCGTTCACATGGTCAGAGCAGCGAGTGAAGGCTCGTTCACATGGTCAGAGCAGCGAGTGACGGCTCGTTCACATGGTCAGAGCAGCGAGTGGCGGCTCGTCCACATGGTCAGAGCAGCGAGTGACGTCCACATGGTCAGAGCAGCGAGTGACGGCTCGTTCACATGGTCAGAGCAGCGAGTGCTGTGTGACACAGACGAGCGCGACAGACCGGTATGTGTGTGTGTATATGCATGTGTGTATATGTATGTGTGTGTACATGTATGTATGTGTGTATATGTATGTGTGTGTGTGTGTGTGTGTGTGTGTGTGTGTGTGTGTGTGTGTGTGTGTATATGTATGTATGAGTGTGTAAATGTAAGCTCCAATGTAGTTCTGACCCGCACCAGTGTGCAACTTTGGCGGACTAGTAACAGAGGGGAGAGATGATGAGTGTGTTTGTTACGTATCAATGGATGGGGGGGAGTGTGTGTGTGCGTGCGTGTGTATGTGTGTTTGCACACAGCTAGAGACAGACCCGCTCGTCACACCGTGCAAATAGGGCTTAAAATAGCGTTAATATCCCTCTTTTGTGTTTTTTAACCGACAGCTCTGACCGGTTAACGCTGTGACGTCAACCACCGGTTAAGATAAGATATGATAAGATGAACCTTTATTAGTCTCACAGTGGAGAAATGTCAGTGTCATCGTTGCACAATACAACAGAGAAAGGAAATAAGACTCAGACGCACACATCAAGTAAGTCTATTATTTAAGATAATAGACAATAAAATTAAGATAAGAATGAAATAAAATAAAATAAAGTGACTGTGAAATATCAGATGGATCTGTAATCATACAGTCATACTAACAGTAAATATCAGATCTGTAATCATACAGTCATACTAACAGTAAATATCAGATCTGTAATGATACAGTCATACTAACAGTAAATATCAGATCTGTAATGATACAGTCATACTAACAGTAAATATCAGATCTGTAATGATACAGTCATACTAACAGTAAATATCAGATATGTAATCATAACAGTAAAGTGACTGTAGTGAACTATCAGTGACATTTGTGCAGACTCAGCAGTTCTTGTTACACATTCTCGTTGAACAGCCGGGTCACCGATTTACATCACTACGCAGAAGCCATTTTTCTTTGTATCTAAAATGGTTTTTAAATACTGTCGTCAAAACAGGAAAACAATACACAATAAGTATGATATTTGTTGTCAATAATAATAAAAATAATTATGATACCAAAAGCAGGGAGATGATTGACAAATTGAAACATCGAATCACAGCTAGCTCCTGAGTCCAGCTCCTGAGTCTAGCTCCTGAGTCTAGCTCCTGAGTCTAGCTCCTGAGTCTAGCTCCTGAGTCTAGCTCCTGAGTCTAGCTCCTGAGTCTAGCTCCTGAGTCCAGCTCCTGAGTCTAGCTCCTGAGTCTAGCTCCTGAGTCCAGCTCCTGAGTCCAGCTCCTGAGTCCAGCTCCTGAGTCCAGCTCCTGAGTCCAGCTCCTGAGTCTAGCTCCTGAGTCTAGCTCCTGAGTCCAGCTTCTGAGTCTAGCTCCTGAGTCTAGCTCCTGAGTCCAGCTTCTGAGTCTAGCGCCTGAGTCTAGCTCCTGAGTCTAGCTCCTGAGTCCAGCTCCTGAGTCCAGCTTCTGAGTCTAGCTCCTGAGTCTAGGTTAAAGAATTGAGGAAAGTTGACAGTGCTCAGTGAGCTTGGTATTTTAGTCTCATTTTGCTGTGGCAGTTTGTGAGTTTAGTGACGTTGCTAAACAAATCTGCTGTTGTTTTTGGAAGGGGCTGATGGCTCAAATCCAAAATGTGTTTCTTAACAGCAAACAGCGAATAAACTGAATCAGAATCTGAGCTCACCAGGGATGAGCTAAAAGCTTTTATTGAGCAGAGCTAAACAGAACTTGTGGTTGGTCTTGGTTGAAGGAACCATGTTGTAACGTAATTTATAAAGGAACATTTTGTATTTTACAACAGAAACTCAAAAGTCCATTTACTTCTGTGATTTGATTTACGAAGTGAAACTAATATCTGACAGATGATTGTGACTGACGACGTGCAAAGTGACACATACCAGACCGTTTTTATATAATGTTGATGTTAATTTTCTCACAGCTGTAAAAATTCTACCAATCAAAAGCCTGGCCATAGATCCTATGTTAAGACAGAGGAGTGCTGATGTCACATAGTGTTTGCTGAATGCAGAAGACGGTTTGAACCACAGAGGGCGCTAAACAACAGATTGTGTGAGCCCAAAACGGTGAATGTGACACAAACTTCAGTGGATCTAAATACAGTTTATGGGCTTTGCATTTGTCACTTTGCATGTCATGTTTTGGTTTCACATTGTAACCCTTTAATGTTCACTCCTTGAAGAAACCACTGTATTTTCAACGTATTTGATGGTAAAGGCGCCTAAAATAAAGTGAGATGCCCCAAAGAAATATATTCACGTCCAAAGCTTCAAGTAGATACAGTTACTCAAAAAGTGACACACCAAATGATTGTAGAAACTATTCAAGGGATAAGATGAATTGTTTTTCTAATGTTTCCAGTTTCATCTATGGGTCTCCTTTAATGTTAAACCAACACAATGCAACACAGTGACACTCTTCTTTCACGGCTGCTATGCCAATTAAAATAAATAATAACAAAATAGCAAGGAAGATTCAAGTAATAAAATTGATCTGGATAATGTGAAAATCAGGTAGAGGTGTGACAGGTTAGCACAGATGCAGAGACACAGATAAGATGTGGCCACTAAGAGACACTGTGGAGTCACTCCTGACAAAGGCTGTGTGTGCTTTTGTCTAAGGTTATAACACAGGTGGCACTCACACCTGCTCAGAGCGCTTGGAATCTTTTTGTTGTGTCTCTTAATTCTACAATGATGGTGAATTTTCAGCCCATCGGTAAGTTAAATTCACTTTTATGGTTGTATTTTTATCTGTGTGTGTATATTTTTATTCATATAGCATGTTTCATAGACCAAGGTTTTATTGGGTTGAAGTATAACTTTGTATTTGCACCATTTCTCTTTTTTGGTTCTGAGTAATTAGGAAAGCTGTGTTTTTTAAAATATCCTGACTCAATGTGAATCATATGCTGCAATATTTTCATTTTTAAAACAATGTACACTTACTCCAAATAAGCATCCTGATATGGTTAACCACATTTGAACACATTTTCTACATTTTAGGTTTTAAGTTGTTGAAAAGGCTCTTCCTGTCCTTTAGTCTTCTCTGCCTGGTCAGTATTCTGATGCTCCGACGTGGCCACTGGAGCTGGTGAGTTTTATAACTTCAATTAAATACTACAATATCTCAAGGAATTGAATTGAACTTATGTTAGAACAATCTTCCAATACAGAGACAATAAGGGTTGCCAAAGCCTTTCAGTCTGAAACCCCGGCTCGTATGTTCCATATTCCCCCTTGGTGTCTGGACACCTGTTGGGCTGTAATGTAATATAATGTTCATCATGCTGTCATATGTCAAATTTGCATTTGGTTACATTTCTTTATTATACGGCTCCTCAGAGCAGCAGAAGAACGCTCCATTGATGTGAATGTCATTTCAAAACGTTCTACCGGTCATTATTTTCTATAACGGACCTCTCAAAACAATAATGACCGCTGCCCTTTGGCAACGCACTCTCTGCTTGTCTTGCGTGGATAACTCTGCAAGTAGTTCCGGCCACTCCGGAGCTAGCCACGCTCAATCAACACACTTAATTGTTAATCAGAGAATACTTATACTTATACATTCTTCACACACGTGCACGGAAATTTTCAGAATTTTCTGGTCTTGTCTTCACGACAAAAATACTATTTCTCTGCGTCAAAAAGCGATCGTGAAAAACCCGGAAGTAGTTCCGGCCGCTCAATAAACGCAAATGCCAATCAATCAACGCAATGAAATGTTAATCGGAGAGTAATTTATACATATCCAGTCTTAATACAAGTGCACGGAAGTTTTCAGAATTTTCCGTTTACGTTTTCATGACAAAAACACTGATGTAATGCGATAAAAGGCGATCCCGAAAAACCCGGAAGTAGATACGGCACATTTTAGGAACATTTGCAGAGGATGGAATTATGGATTTAGGTTAAGTTTATGTTTGGGTCACTCACCGCTGATGTTCAGGATTCTGTGTTCAGTTTTCATGCAGTTCCAGAGAGTTCTAGTTTGGAAGTTACTAGCCTAACTGTTGCTAGCATAGCCACGGGAAAACCTTTGGGAACTATTTTATTTTCTGTCATTAAATACTGTCATGTCGGTACTTATTTTCCGATAATGACCTGCGTAATATACGTTATCCCTTACTTAATGTTTGTGTGTGTGCATCTGTGTGTGCATGCAGTGCACGCAATTAACACATTCAATCGTTTATTTGAGCCAATGGTGCTTTGGCAGGTAATTCGTCACATTTGCCGCTCAGTAATGCAGTTACTAACATAATTACCTCTGGAGAGAATTAATCAGTAACTATATCTAATGTTTATCTTTTTAAAAAGGAACTATCCTTATTAAAAACTATTTTTTTCTATATATATATAAAACACATTACAGCCATGCATTTCCCACCTCAGCAATATGCTTTCGTATAATATAGATAAATAATAAATCAATAAAATAAGTTTTTAATATGAATGCCTCTGATTGGTCAGAAAATTGATGATTTACTTTTTGGGGTCGAAGCTCTCGCTTTAGTGTTTATGATGCTTCTGCTGCGACAAACAAGACGATAGAGAAAAAAGAACAAGAACTTCCTTAAAATGGGTGTATTTTGTTCGGCCCTGGGATGCATCAATGAAGGTTACCAAAGGAAGAGTGTAGACAGCAGTCCCAACGATCTTTGACTTATTCAGAGAAGGCCACGGTCCAAACTGAGAGAAGACACCAGCGCCAGGTCCATCAAATTACCATACCATACCATACCAGCGTTATTTATAAAGCACTATAAAACTTTACAGTTCAGCCAAAGTGCTGTACACAAAAACAAACACAACAAAATACATATATAAAACAACATTACCTAAAATCAAACATTATCAAAAGCACATGAAAAAAGATGAGTTTTAAGAAGTGACTTAAAGACAGGCAGAGACTGAGCCTTTCTGGTCTCAATGGGACTGGTCTCAATGGGACTGGTCTCAATGGGACTGGTCTCAATGGGACTGATCCCAAAGACATGGACCTGTGACAGAAAAGGCTCGGTCACCACGAAGCTTACGCTGTGTCTTAGGGACCACCAGCATCAGCTGATCTCAGGGCGCCAGAGGGAACATAGGGCAGAACAAGATCACAGAGGTAGGAGGGGGCCAGTCCATTTAAACATTTAAAAGTAAATAAATACATGTAAAATAAATTCTAAAACCCACTGGAAGCCAGAGCAGAGATTTTAAAACCGGTGTCACATGCTCCCATCTACGAGTTCCAGTTAAAAGTCGAGCTGCAGAATTCTGGACGAGCTGCAGCAGAGAAAGTGCCTGTTGGCTCCGCCCACAGTAGAGTGCATTGCAATAATCCAAACGGGTTGTCACAAAAGCACAACAGTCTCAAAGTGCTGCTTTGTTAAAAAAGGCTTGATTTTTGCAAGTTGCCTTAGATAGAAATTAGTTCTATCAAGCTCCAACTAAAACCAATTTTTAACAAGTTTCAACCTTGTATTCACCTGGTGTACAGTATACCAGTAAACACAACTGACATTGAACCATGAATCCATGTTTCACTCTAACTACAGTACGTTTAGTAAAAGTTCAGTATAAGACTTTAGAACCACAGACACATGTTCAGTATAAGACTTTAGAACCACAGACACATGTTCAGAATAAGACTTTAGAACCACAGACACATGTTCAGAATAAGACTTTAGAACCACAGACACATGTTCAGAATAAGACTTTAGAACCACAGACACATGTTCAGAATAAGACTTTAGAACCACAGACACATGTTCAGTATTAGAACCACAGACACATGTTCAGTATAAGACTTTAGAACCACAGACACATGTTCAGTATAAGACTTTAGAACCACAGACACATGTTCAGTATAAGACTTTAGAACCACAGACACATGTTCAGTATAAGACTTTAGAACCACAGACACACAGACAAGACTTTAGAACCACAGACACACGTTCAGTTTAAGACTTTAGAACCACAGACACACGTTCAGTATAAGACTTTAGAACCACAGACACATGTTCAGTATAAGACTTAAGAACCACAGACACACGTTCAGTATAAGACTTTAGAACCACAGACACATGTTCAGAATAAGACTTTAGAACCACAGACACATGTTCAGTATAAGACTTTAGAACCACAGACACATGTTCAGTATAAGACTTTAGAACCACAGACACATGTTCAGTATAAGACTTAAGAACCACAGACACACGTTCAGTATAAGACTTTAGAACCACAGACACATGTTCAGTATAAGACTTTAGAACCACAGACACACGTTCAGTATAAGACTTTAGAACCACAGACACACGTTCAGTATAAGACTTTAGAACCACAGACACATGTTCAGTATAAGACTTTAGAACCACAGACACACGTTCAGTATAAGACTTTAGAACCACAGACACATGTTCAGAATAAGACTTTAGAACCACAGACACATGTTCAGAATAAGACTTTAGAACCACAGACACATGTTCAGTATAAGAATTTAGAACCACAGACACATGTTCAGTATAAGACTTTAGAACCACAGACACACGTTCAGTATAAGACTTTAGAACCACAGACACACGTTCAGTATAAGACTTTAGAACCACAGACACATGTTCAGTATTAGAACCACAGACACATGTTCAGAATAAGACTTTAGAACCACAGACACATGTTCAGTATTAGAACCACAGACACATGTTCAGTATAAGACTTTAGAACCACAGACACATGTTCAGTATAAGACTTTAGAACCACAGACACACAGACAAGACTTTAGAACCACAGACACACGTTCAGTATAAGACTTTAGAACCACAGACACACGTTCAGTATAAGACTTTAGAACCACAGACACACGTTCAGTATAAGACTTTAGAACCACAGACACATGTTCAGTATAAGACTTTAGAACCACAGACACATGTTCAGTATAAGACTTTAGAACCACAGACACATGTTCAGTATAAGACTTAAGAACCACAGACACACGTTCAGTATAAGACTTTAGAACCACAGACACACGTTCAGTATAAGACTTTAGAACCACAGACACATGTTCAGAATAAGACTTTAGAACCACAGACACACGTTCAGTATAAGACTTTAGAACCACAGACACATGTTCAGTATAAGACTTTAGAACCACAGACACATGTTCAGAATAAGACTTTAGAACCACAGACACATGTTCAGAATAAGACTTTAGAACCACAGACACATGTTCAGTATAAGACTTTAGAACCACAGACACATGTTCAGTATAAGACTTAAGAACCACAGACACACGTTCAGTATAAGACTTTAGAACCACAGACACACGTTCAGTATAAGACTTTAGAACCACAGACACATGTTCAGAATAAGACTTTAGAACCACAGACACATGTTCAGTATAAGACTTTAGAACCACAGACACATGTTCAGAATAAGACTTTAGAACCACAGACACATGTTCAGTATTAGAACCACAGACACATGTTCAGTATAAGACTTTAGAACCACAGACACATGTTCAGTATAAGACTTTAGAACCACAGACACACAGACAAGACTTTAGAACCACAGACACACGTTCAGTATAAGACTTTAGAACCACAGACACATGTTCAGTATAAGACTTTAGAACCACAGACACACGTTCAGTTTAAGACTTTAGAACCACAGACACACGTTCAGTATAAGACTTTAGAACCACAGACACATGTTCAGTATAAGACTTTAGAACCACAGACACACAGACAAGACTTTAGAACCACAGACACACGTTCAGTATAAGACTTTAGAACCACAGACACATGTTCAGTATAAGACTTTAGAACCACAGACACACGTTCAGTTTAAGACTTTAGAACCACAAACACACGTTCAGTATAAGACTTTAGAACCACAGACACATGTTCAGTATAAGACTTAAGAACCACAGACACACGTTCAGTATAAGACTTTAGAACCACAGACACATGTTCAGAATAAGACTTTAGAACCACAGACACATGTTCAGTATAAGACTTTAGAACCACAGACACATGTTCAGTATAAGACTTTAGAACCACAGACACATGTTCAGTATAAGACTTTAGAACCACAGACACATGT